TTGACATTTTATTAGCGATAGCAAGTGTGGGTTTACAAATTTCACATTTTATACCAGGAAACAGGGCTTGCTCAGCTTGTTAATATGGAAATAAATCCTCTGGTTCCTTTTCCACTGGAAGGTGGGGCCTGTCTCTTGAAAACCTTCATGAAGAAGGTAAACGGCCCTGTGCTAGCCCGTGGGGTGGGAGACAGAGGGGATTTCAGTGAGTCTCCAGGATGATGTTATTCCAGGGAGGTAGTGTCCTCCCACCTGGGGAATGTGTGACTTCGGGGTGCCTTGGTGGGTGGATGCACAGACAGTGATAGGCCTGGCCCCAGGAACCAGGGAAGAAGTGTCCCCCAGGAAGGACACTCCTGTTTTGGGGGAACAGCCTCTGCTAAGGTTGGGATGTGTGAGGTGGAACTCTCCGCCTGATCCTCTCATCTGTGGGAGACATCTCTCCGTCATGTCACCTGTACCTATTTCCTCCCAGCATCCCCCTGGGGCCTACGCTCTCATTGAGCACTGCGTTTCTCATGGTCTGCCCCTCCTGCTTCACGTTTGATTTGTCTCCATGTCTCTGGGCAAGGACGCTTGGCCCCAGCTTCCCAGTTTGACAGTGTGTCTCTAGAGAGACGGAGAAAGTGGAGGGATTCACTTAGAAATATCTTTTATGTTTTGTTTTCAGGGATGTTCTTCCAAGAGTGCTCAGTATCCTGGGAGCCACTCCTGGAAGTACCCAGCAGCCAGTCCTAACAGTCCAACCTGGGGGAGGTCCCGAGCCTGTGGCCTCTGGTTGGGACTGGGGGCTACACCATTCTCCAGGGCTTCAGCAAGCTTGCTCAGTGGGCCTGGTGGTGCTGGTTTGGGTTTCTGCACCCTGCCCCTCACAATGTCTCCCCAGCCCTTAGAAATGTCTCATGGCTGAGCACCCAGAGAGTCTGCAGGAAGTTAGCAGAGCCGAGAGAGAAGGGCTGTGTCACCCTCTCTTTAGGTCATAACATGATGGATGGGCCTCAGTGTGGCATCCGGGAAGTGCGAGCGAGAGGTTGTGGTGATGTGACAATGTCAGCATTTGCCCCTCTACCACTCACACCCCTGCACCAGCCCTGGGGGGTGTTTTTCTAAGTCACTGGTCTCTGCGGCCATGTTGCTGCTCTTCTTGTCCATGTGCAGATGCCCCTGGCTGCCAGGGTCCTCTCGAGCTTCCTGGTCTAGGGCCTTGGCCATGTTCTATCCAAAGGTCCCTCATTTTCAGCGCAGCTGTCTTGGGAACAAGGACCCCCACGAGGATGAAGCCCCTGCTGCTCAGCTTCCCTCCAGAGGCACTTTCCAAGTTGCCCCTTCAGACTGTTTTGCTTTGCATCTTGTAGATCTAAAATTAGACCCGAGTGCTGCTTCTTTCGAATATCTGCAATTTGGCGTAATAAATGACAAATGTGTAAGATAAAGAGTGCCAAGAGGCTCCCACCTCAGAAATAAGCTTCCAACTTTTCTCTTGAAATTCTTTCAAATCTGCAAATGTTAACATTTATATTTCCAAATGCATAAGATGCGCCAGAATGTTTAGGTTAGGACATGACCACGACTATCAGAACACGCTGGCTGGGGAGAAAAAAAAAAACGCTTGTCCAGTCAAGAAAACACAGCGGACTGGATGTTTCAGACAGATGGCATCTCATACAGAGGATCCGGTCCGTGGAGACAGGAAGCTGAAACCAGGAGAATTCATTACAGCCAAACAACAACCATGTCCCCCGCCAGCCTATGTAGGAACGAATGAGACTGGGACCCTGAGGGGTGTCCAGTTGTGCCATACTGCACTGTTCCCCAGTGAAGGACACGGGGACCAGTGCAGTATGACACAACTGGTGGCTGCTGGCACCTCTACCAGGGGAGCCAGGCTGGCACTGAGCTCAGAGGAGAGCGACGAGGTGGCAGCAGCGTAGCAACGGAAGCTGGGGCTTGAGCCAGCCTCCCCTGCTTTCTCCCTCCTGCCGTGCCCATCTCCTATAGGCCCTTGGCACACCAACAGGAAGCCTGGGACAAGGTGCCTGGTAGAAGACCGCTTCTCCCAGCCTGGCAGGTCCTGAGGGTCCATAGGTTCATAGAAACAGATTCACAGACAGATGAATCCTGAGGCACCACAAAATCACTCTGTCTCCAATAGTGACTAGACTTCCTGGGCCCTATTCCCATAAGCTTGTTTGTCCATGGTCCCTAACAGTAATAAGGAAGAGGGGGATGTTCTGCTCTAAATCTGCAACTAGAGGCAAGGCACCGTTTGACCAAAGGGCTCAGGCATGAGGAGAGGAGGCAGCAGCTTCTCCCCAGGCTTTCGGTTTGGAGTTTGAGAGTTGGGTTTGGGAAAGGCACTTCCTGGTGAAGTGTGCCATGGAGGACTTACCTCCAACCCTGAAGGGCCAGCCTCTAAGTCAACCCCAGGGGTAATAACCCTTGCCCTGAGTCACTGCACAGAGTTGAGGAGGAACATGGATAGTGCCATTTTTTAATGGGGCATGGATGCCCACCAGGTGAATGAGGGGAGAGTATTCCAAGAGTACCCCATGCTACTGGGCCTCACCCATGTCAGCACGCTCGTCCAGACTAAAAAATGTGGGGGTTGATTTTCTTTCTTTCTTTCTTTCTTTCTTTCTTTTTTTCTTTCTTTCTTCTTCTTCTTCTTCTTCTTCTTCTTCTTCTTCTTCTTCTTCTTCTTCTTCTTCTTCTTCTTCTTCTTCTTCTTCTTCTTCTGCTTTTTGGGTTACACCCACGATGCACAGGGGTCACTCCTGGCTCTATATTCAGGAATCACTTCTGGCGGTGCTCAGGGGACCATATGGGATGCTGGGAATTGAACCCCGGTTGGCTGCATGCAAGGCAAATGCCCTACCCACTGTGCTGCTGTGCTATTGTCCCAGCTGTGAGGGTTGATTTTATCAATGCTAACTGGGAAAGACTCCAGGTGGTGGGGCAGGGTAGCAGCCATTATTTCTTGAATCCCCTTGCATACATTTCCTTGTCAAGTGACCCTTGAACATCTCCCTGCTGTTGTCATCTCTATAGACCCTGAAGGTCACTTCCTTGGAGATGCCAGTAGGTGCCAGAGGACACACAGCATTGCCGGCCACTAATGTTCCTGCCCCCATCTCCCCACTGCCCCCAGCAGATTCTATAAAGTAGAGGATGCGACTTTCTCTGGAAGATGAACAGAAGCTTCACTGAACTGATCACAGAGAGTGGTGAGGAGAGTGGATTCTTAATGCCAGTTTTGATTGCTAGTGGACTGGGGCTCTGGGCTTCTGGCGAGGAGAGAGGGATTTGGGAATGGGCACATGGTACCTGTTAATGGGGCATGGGGAGTTGTGGCTCTCTGTGATTTTACCAAAGGCTCATAGAGGCAGAGTGCTGCTGGCAACGGGTACCTGGGGCTTCAGGCAGAGGCTGAACTCCGGGAGTCTGTGGCCACCCTTCACTGTCCCTACCGATGCTGAAGCCCCTGGAGGTGGTCCTACCCCTGTAGGGATGCTCCATGAAACTGAGGGCAAGTCCTTTGCAGTGTGCCATCCTGTCCACCAGGAATACTTGGACCAGCCTGGTTGCTCAGTAAAGAAACGTGCTTTCTTAAAGTCCCTCCTTGTGTCCCCTCTCTGTTAAGAGCATTGCTGGCTTAGTTCAACACTGTCATGTTACAAATGAGGAAATCCCATTCCAGAGGGGAAGGTACAGGGAAGGGGCACACATGCACTGGCGGAGGAGCAGAGAAGGATCCGAGTTTTGTTCACAACCCACCCAACCCCCTCTTAAGCACCCCTTGGTGCCTGCTCCAAGGTGGGCCCCTCTGTCTGCTGAGCCCCAGTTGGCTGTCTTAATTTCAAGTGCTTATTAGTGAAGAATGGTCTTAAAATAACACACAAGGTGCTCTGTATTGGCCAAAGAAGCATCACAGAAAAATCCGTATCGATTGTCTGGATGCCAAGCACACTAGACTAATACGAGGAGGTGGCACTGAGGTCTGGCCCACAGCGCACCTTCAGAGCTAGACCGGCAATTGCAGAAGCCAATGCGAAGTGAGTGCCCAGAGACTGTATGGCCAGGGGTTCCTGAAGTGACAGTCCCCAACAGAAACTCTCTGGGACACAGATCCCAGCTCTTGGAAAGGCGGCCAAGGCACCAGAACCACATGCAGTGGTTTGTCCTCCTGCCACCGACACCTCCTGTCCCCAGGTCCCCTCCTATCCCCGTGGCCTGTGTCACAGCAATTTTTCATGCTGATCTCCCTGTAAAGTACAGGTGTACCAGCCCGGCATGTGGCTGACTGCAGATCATGTGCTTCTGTGTCTGGGACTCCAGAAGGTCGGCATGTTGTGTGCACAGTTAGGCTATTTATATCTGAGCAGACAGGTGTGGACCTAGGAAGATGTGTGTGCGTGCATGAAAGGACATGCATATACAGAGACAGGTCTGTGTGTGAGGAGAAGAGAAGCGGTGTGTGTGTGTGCCCATGAGCAGGCATATCTGTGTGGGACCACGTGAGACTGTATGTGTGCATAGGCAGGCACATGTGGGTCAGTAGACGTGTGTGCAGAGGCATGTGTTTGCATGTGTTGTGTACATGATGAAAGCTTCGTGGCAGTTCCCTCAGAAGGGCACGGCATAAGTCAGGCTTCCACTTGACCTGGGAGTTGTTCTGCCAGCCCCACCTCCTGAGAAGGTGTCCTTGAGGCCATCTGCACCCCAGGAGCCCAGCTTCCTCCCTCGACAGGGTCAGAGCAGGCGCTCCCTGGGCAGGGCAGTCCGTAGACCCACAGCCCTGATGTTCTGATTCAGACCGTGTAGCCCTGAGCCCCTGGCATCCCCGGCTACACTTTGCCGCGCTCAGAGCTTTGCTTCTTTGCTGAAGAGCAAGGTCTGCAGGAAGCTGTTCCAGCAGCAGCAGCAGCAGGAGCAGCGGCCAGAGCGGCAGGCACAGCAGCAACAGCAGCAGCAGCAGCAGCAGCAGCCGGAGCACCGGCACCCTCCAAATTGGGACTCTAGCCCTTTAAATCTGCTCAGTTACCAAAAAAGAAGAGGCATCAGACCCTGTTAATTAAAGCTCGCCCTGGTCCATCATTCTGAGGAGCTGCAGTGCTCTGCTCCTTCCTGATGGCTTAGAGATTCTCCTAACTCCCAGCCATGGATCTTGGAGAATTCCCCCCGAGCTCAGCAGGAGGTATGATCCTTGTTGATGGCACTGGGGCTGGTGTGGCTCTAAATCAATGATATCATTGACTGCATGGACGCTGCCTGGCCCCCCTTTCTCTTCCTCTTCCCCTCTGCCTCCTCTTTTAATTTCCCAGCTTGTTTTTAGTTGAGACAAAAGAAGTTATTGTGGGTTTGAGGGGGCGGGAGGGGTCCGCATATCCCGGGGCTGGGGGACTTCTGGAGGTGTCTCCCAGTAGATCTGCTTTGACCCTGACTTCACCTGGCTGCCAAAGTAGCTCGGGGGAGCCAGGGAGCAGGTTTTTTTCAGCCTGAGCTCCGACTAGACTAACCCCTTTTCGCCTGGCTGGGTCCCTCGCCTCGGCTGGTAACGAAGAGGGCATAACCCTGACTTGACTTCTTCAGTCAGTCACCTGCCACTCTGCGGGGTGGAGACGGCAGTGCCGTTGGTGGAGCCCCGTGTTCTGTTATCAGAAAACTCATTCCAGCCAACTTTCTCTCCGTGGATTGTCCCGGCAGGAACACAGTGCACAGTGCTGGCTCCTGTCCCCGGCCTCCCCTCCCCTTTTACTTTCCTGCTGTAGGTGGGAATGCTTGCTATAGGATTTCAGGAATTCCTGACCCTTTCCCTGTGCCTTTTGAGGAAACTCACTTCTAGCCGAGTCGAAGATGCTGTTGCAAAGAGAGTTGTTTTGATTCAGGAATCTGCTCGAGTCTGGCAGAGAGAGAGGGAGGAGATTTATCTTCTTCTACATTGCATTTTGTAAATGGTACTCGGGCCCAGAGAACATCATTCTGCAAATCCTTCATTGATTTGTTTTCGCCCCCACAGCTTCCTTCTGGGGAAAAGGCTTGTCTCAAGTTCTACCCGAAGGAAAGGTTTCCTTTCAATCAGCTTGACACGACTTCACAGCTGTCCCTGAAACCAGGCCCTGGCAGAGGGAGCCATTTTTTTCATCCTAAGTAACAGTCCCCTGTGCCCAGGTCTTTGTGCTGGGCAGGGGGCCTGTTATGGGCTTACACCTCCCACAATTCCCCTCTGGAGAGTAGCTTAGTGGGGAATACTTTTACTTTTTGCCAGGTTTTTTAAAAATTTTTTTTAATGCCCTGGATGGTGACTATCACCTCTCAGATCCCCGGAGAATTTAAGCCAAAACTTAGCTCCCAGCAGTGAGTTCCCCAAGTTTCTGCCTGGGGACCCTAATCGTCTGCATGAGCAATTCAACCTTTTCTCCAGCCCTGTAGGGGAACTTCCGGTGAGGGTGAGGAATTCAGTGGCAGCCTTGCAGGCAGTGTGGGTGCAGAGGGACTTGGGTTCCCCCTGTAATAAATTCCCGGCCAGCAATGTGGCAGCCACGCTCTGGGCAGGAGAGAGCGAGTGAAACCCACGGATGAAGCACTGGACAGAATTTCTAGCTGCTCTGCCCAAAGGTGATTTGCGGAATAATCTGAAGATCTATACAGGAAACCCAAGGAGGGGGTCCTGTAAGGCAAAAGGCACCGGCAGGAGGGGAGGTGGAGGGGGCTGCATGGAGAGGGGGCTTCCTTGGCATCAGCAGCTTCATGGAGCATCAGTTTTTGGCCTGGAGTGGGGGCTTTGGGAGTCTGCAGTGGTACGCGGGCTGCTGACTTGTGGACTGGGATTCCCGGAAACCCTCTCTCTGCGCTCCTCTTCCTCTTCTTCCTCTACTCTAGTTGTGTCCTGGTGTTGGGGAGGGGTCACCTCCTCAGGTCCTCTAGTGGGTCTGCCGGTTAAGACTCACACCCGCTCCACCACATTCTAGGGAAACCCTCAGAATCTGAGTTTTACCAATTGCTCCCAGAGTGGGATGTCGCTCACTGCATGTGTCTCTGGATGGCTGGTGCCTTTAACAATACGTTGGTACGTAGGCTGTTCTGTCAAGTTTTCTTTCCAGCATAGCAATTTGCACGTATATACGCATGGACATGTGTGTTATGTGTATAAGATGTGTAGATTTATGTGTTATTCGGCTTACTGCATGGTTGCTGTGTTCTAGCTGTCATTGGATGCCAAAGGACGTTGTTTAGAGCTGAGAATTTTTTAGAGTTTTTTGGTCCTGTGTTTCTCATATTGACCTTGGTAGACCCCCCCTGTGCCCCGCAGGAGAGACCACGGCCTTCGGAGTAGGATGGAGAGGACAGCTCTTCCCTGGAATCAGCCCACCCCCCCATCAGCATGTTATTGTGGTTAGGGAGTTAACACTTGTGCACTTCAGTTTCTTCCCCTGAGAGGGTAGAGTCATCAGGACTGAGCAGGACAGTTTCGTTTAAGTATGTATACACAGCACGTACAGTAGAACCCTTGCTCCCAGCTTTCTGGTGATGTCAGGGGCTTCTGTTAATGAAGGCTTGACCCTGAGGGCAAGTAAGGAAGTTGGCCGTTTAGATGCCTCCATGAACTTCTCTGCTAATCACCCCTGTGTGCTGTCCATGCACTAAAAACTCAAAAATTTGTTGAGTGAATGCATGATGGTCTGTGAGCCACTTTTAAACCTCAAAGTAGATGATTTTTCATGACTAGGTAAGACAGTATCACTCAGTTTATTTAAGAGATGCAGCTGAGCCAGACAGATAAATATAACATAGTCCCATGAATAGAACACATATGGATAAAAATACCCTTTTGTGGAGAAATATGAAGTGTAATGAGAGCCCCCAGCATTAGGACCTGTGCCAATTGCCTGAGGTCATGGGAGGCATCGTGGACCCCTTCCAAGTGTAGAGAAATTGGCTTTCTTATCACTGCTAATCCCTTTCTTTATGCCCACCAAGGAGGGAAATGAACATGGTAGAAAGTGTTATGCTCCATATGCCTACTCTGTGTAGGCCATCAGTTCGGTGTTATCAATATCACTAAGTTGATAGGTAGACACCGTCAGCTATGGGGGAATGTCATTGATTTAGTGAATATTTATCAAAGAAATGATTCTGATGAGAACTAATGCTACCATTCCCACCCATTCCCATCTAAAATTCATGGGGATGAGGAACTGGAGGCACCCACACAGGAGTGAATGCTTCTGCTCTCATGCCAAGATCTAAGTAATTAATACAGTGACCCAATGAATGGGTCCAGGCTGAGGGGAAAGTCCAGGGCATCACAGGTGCTTGGTGGACAGGTCTGCACTAAGGGCCTCAGAGGAATACTTACTTAACCTTGTTTGCTCACTGAGTAATCCCAAATGGGTCCCCAAAGAAGTGATTTGGAAGAGGAGGTGGCACCCACAGAAATCAGAGGCAGAAAGCCACTTTGGAGTGAGTGGGTAAATCTATCTGGTGGTGGTATAAAGGGTGACATGGTGTAATTGAAGGACAGAGAAATGGGTAGGTCCCCAAGAGCATTGGTGGTCACAAAAGAGAGGACTTGATTTGGAAGAGTCACTGAGAGATTTTTAATAGAATCACATCACGATCACAATCATCCTATTGTTCATCGATTACCTCGAGCAGGCCCCAGTAACGTTTCCTTCGTCCTAGCCCTGAGATTTTAAAAGGTGCCATATTCAAGGCTCTTTCAGGGTTAGGAGAATGAGACCCATCATTGTTACTGGTATTTGGCATATTGGGTACGCCACGGGGAGTTTGCCAGACTCTGCCATGTGGGCAGGTTACATTCGGTAGCCTGCCAGTTTGTCCAAAGTAAGAAGGAGATAAAAAATAAATAAACACTTAGGAAAATCAAATTCCACAACTAGGACTGGGCATTAATTGTACAGCAACCTGTCGTCTCGGTTCTGATACATCAGTTAACAGAGCAGACTGAAACCCATTCGTAGAACTTTCATCCAGCAGGGAAAGGAGCATTGTTAAGTGCAAGGCATAAGTAGCTTGTTCTGGAGAGAAATCAAATGGAGCAGAGGTATGACATGCAGACTCAGTGATGGGTTGTGGTGGTAGTATCCTGAGCAGGATGAAGATAGAAGTGGGGTCGAATAGACTCTTGTAGACACTGTAAGAGTTGAGTGAGAAAGAAGTGAGTGCGGAGTTCAGGGCAGAAGAGAGACTGAAAAATTATCTAATGACTCCTTTGAGCAGAGGTGGGTGGGCAGGGCGGACAAGAATGGCCAGCAAGGAGGCGGCTGTGACATCTGGGTAGCACAGGATGATGACTGGGCTAGGGGGACAGTGGGGCATGGAAATGGCAAGGATTCTGGACTTGTTTGCTTTGGCGGGGACAGAGGCAGTTGCTGATGGATTGGGTAGTCTTAGGAAAGAAAGAGATGAGTCAAGAATGACTCAAGTTTGGTTGGCCTCCGATGGGATGACTGTGGGTGGAACAGGTTTGGGAGAAGATCAGGAGCTCGGTGTGTCTCCTGTTCACTTAGAGATGTCTGTGGAGCACCCAGCAGAGCCGATGAGTAGGCTGTAGTTCACAGAAGAGTCTGGGCTGGATACAGCCTCGGGAGCCTGTATCAGAGTACAGATGGTATTTAAAGCACTAGCTGATGAGATCATCAGGACATGGATTACAGAGGGAGAGGACTAGGGGCTGAATTCTGAGGCATTACAGCTATTGGCCTGTTAAAGAGAGATGGAGAAACCAGTCAAGGAAATTGGAGAAGAGATGTCTTTCCCCTTCAATACAGATCACCTCATTCCTATACTCTGTCTCTCTGCTCTTGGAGGAGCAAAGTTCATGAAACATGCTCCCCATTTTCAACCTTTTTCTCCCGACTTCTTTCTGCCTCCTCTGAGGAGGTTTATTGCATCTTAAACTCCCTTTCCTGACTCCTTAGTTCTCTTTCCTAGTTTGCTCTTTCCCTTACTTGTAATTATTTCCTTCTTTCGCCGTTTATTGCACTATCACTATATGCCAGGTTTGAAGAGTAGATCCCGTCATTAGTACCTGTATATTTCCATTTATACAGCATCTTGGACATTCCATTACGTATAGTGAAATAGAAAATGTATTATCAGAAACTAAAGACAAGAATTCTGTACAAATGAAAATGCAATTTAGAATAGAAGAGTAGATCAGAAAAATCAGAA